TCTATTAAGACTCTTTTGCATTCAGACGATTTAGTGCAAGATACTTTCCCAAACTTCAGATCTATGCACTAAAGGATCATTAATCACGTAAAGGTTCGACCTTTATGACCATGCATCACTCATCTAGCTCTATTTGACAAAATAACCCTCATAATGGTGTCATAAGCTCAATATTCTTATGTGACTGCATAAAGTTGGGTTCTTGGGGCTCTCTGGACCTCTCAAGGTCCAGATCTGATGTCTAAGCCTCAAAGGGACTTCAAATATTTCATAACTCAACTTAAAAGAGGGTAAAGAAACCCTAAATTCATGAGATCTACTAATCAAACGAAAATGGGTATGAACTCATACCTTCAACAGCTGCCTTGAATGAAACAGTGAAAGATCTGAGCCCCTTCTAGACAGCTTAGCTTGAACCCTCTCCTTCTTCCTTGCAAGAATGCACCAAAATGAAGAAATTAGCTCCCTCTCTCTCTCTAAGCTCTCTGGATCGATTAGGGTCTCTCAAGGGAAAGTGTGGCCGCAAATGGAGGCCATAAGAGCCTTTAAATAGGCCACAAACCCGAGAAATTAGGGTTTCCCTCAGCAGCGCTGACTCGGCGAGTCAGATACCCGACTCGTCGAGTCCATTCATTAAACACATCACCAAGTCGCGATCCCACTCGACGAGTTGAGGCACCAACTCGTCGAGTCCACCCAAAATCCTTAATATAAATGCTTAAATTAATATACCCGGAAAACCGGATGTTACACTAGGGTTCCAAACTTTATGATTTACTCTCTTTACACATCTAAAATAATATTATGGTATAATCCATCTTTCTTTGATAAATTTAATAAGGATTGTTACCAAAATAACAACCTGCTATAAAATATCATATTTAATGTTCTACTTCATAAACCTCTATAATTTCACATAAAATGACAACACTTGTTCAACAAAATAATTTACTGAAAATCATTTCAAATATCCAATGCCATTTCATTTGAAAATATCATAAACAACAACTATTTTGTCCAAGCATATTGACATATACATTATTTAAAGATATTCTTAAATTTTACTCGACCCCAATCACAGACGTCACATTAATAGCTTTAAAATATGATTGATTTAAGCTGAAGCTAAGAACCCTTAATGCTATAACCCCACAATCAACAACACACTTTTCATTTATATTGAGAAACAAATAGTTCTTGAACTAAAAGTAGTCATTTAACTTGGTAATAAATTGAACATAAAATGAGGGTGTTGCACGCTTATAGACTATAATCAAGACAAAAACAATTTATAATTCCTCAGCAATTTGCACAATTTTCTTTCCCACATTCCCACCTTGGAAGAGTCCTATAAAAGCAGATGGAATGCTCTCAACTCCATGAGAAATATCTTCTAGAACACATAGTTTTCCAGCACGAACATAATTTGTTGTCATCGACATGAAGTCCTTGATTTCATTTGAGGAAAAATTTGCACACAAAAACCCCTTTATCATGATTTGCTTGTAGATGACATCTACCATGTTTAGTGTAGCTCGTTTTCCTGAATTTGTATAGTCTGAAATTGCTCCACATGCAGCAACTCTTCCATAAGTGTTCATATTGGCAAGAACAACCTCGAGCATCTCTCCTCCTATATTGTCAAAGTATATGTCTATCCCATTTGGGAAGTACCTATTCAAGAACATGTACATAAACATAAATTAATACATCTAATTAATTAAGTGTTATCATCAAACGTATTAAAGCTAAAAATTGTGTGTTGCATTGCATGTTGTTCCTACATAAATAAATTATAATAAGTTTGACGTTAAGTTTGATCTTAATATTGATGGTTGTCATATATTTTCCCTAAATAAATTCTATATATATGCAAAATGATAACATGCAATCTATGTTTCTTATAACCTTTGGAGGGTATTAGTTAGATTTGTTTCTTCTTTGTAGTTGAAAGCATCATCGAACCCAAGCTTTCCTTTGAGCAAGTCTACCTAAATTCAAATAACAAACAATACATTAATATTTTACTCTAAGACTCGAATCCTATTCATTTGCACTACCATTTACTCTAAAAATGGCTTTCTAGATTGACTAAGAAAACATGGATAGAACTATTGACTTGTATATTAAAGATCGATGAAGTAATAATTTCGACTTCATAGTCAACTATTGACTTTTAGATTAAAGAGAGGAATAAATGTCATATGTTAATACATATAAAACCTTTTGTTTAGTTCCTGCACAACCAACAACATAACAACCAAACAATTTTGCGTATTGCCCAACCAAGTTGCCAACAGAACCACCGGCTGCTGAAACAAAGACCTTTTCTCCTTTTTTAGGCTCGCATATTTGGAAAAGCCCTCCATATGCTGTAAGCCCGCTAGTCCCTATAATTCAAAATTAGTAGCATATCATAGAACACCGTGTATGTATATGGGAATATTTTAGACATAAAATGGAGACCGAGAGAACCTACCAAAAACCCCAAGATGATAAGATAAAGGAAATTCCAAGGTGTCCAGTTTCTGTAACATGTTTCCACCTTTCATAATCGTATATTCTGCCCAATCCAGTAATCCATATACAAGATCATTTTTTTGAAAATTAGGGTGTTCTGAAGCTATAACTTTCCCCACCCCATTACCATTGATCATCTGTCAAGTGTCAACACGTAAATATGAAATTAAAATTAGAATATATAACTATATAAATAATGGAATGTTTTCTTATAAATTTGAGCGGTATTGCTAAGAAAGTTATAAACAAAGAGTATATTAATGTGGGAGAGTGAAAGAATTGAAAATGGGATCTTGAGACAAGAAAATATGGTGTTACTGATTGATAAATTAATTGTCATGGGATAACATAATCTAAATTACTCATTAAATTAGTCAACAAAATCATAGTGTATGTAATTAATAACTCTTTGAATCAAAAAAAAGCTCATGTGTGGACACTCATGGCTTCTGGTGAAAGTAATTGTATTCCACGTAGAAATTTGGTTGAAAATGATATAAATACCAAACTAGGGGTGATACTATGTTAGTGTCACACATTATCTAGACATGGTTTCATTTGTATCTAACTAGATCATATATAACTTTCATCTTGAGATTAATTAATAATAAATATATCAATGCACGAACACTTATTTTCTTCGTTTTGTTCTCATCCTCTAATTATTAAGTTGTTGTTTGAATACCTAACAAAAAAGTACCAAAGATATGTTTGAAGAAAAGAAAGTTAAAATAGACATGTTTGACACCATAATTCTTGCATGTGAAGATGCAGATTAAAGATTATCTCTATCAGAAAAAGCTTCATGAACCCTTATCCAAACAAAAAGTTGTATCAATGAAATAAGAACTAGATTTTGTTGGATCAACAGACCCTATGTGTGGCCAGGTTGTTATGGAAAAAGTATATTTCGTAAAATATCGCCAACAAGAAAAAAACATTTCGACTAATCAATGTGCTATCCAATATGTATGAAACCCCCTCGGCTACGAATAAGCTTTTATTTATTTGGCTATTGGTAAATGCGCATATGAAGGATGCGATTTTAGTGACAGATCATGTGAATAAATTTAATTCTATTTTATCCAAGTTATTATCAGTTAAGATTAAATTTAATGAAGTTTATTGTTTGTTGTTCGTGTAAGTTGAGTTTAATTTATTGGTTTGGTAAGATTATAGTAGTTAATAGTTTATTAAGAAATAATAAGCTTATATTCAAAGGAATTCTTGAGATCTTAGGAAAGGATACGCGTAGAAAGAACATGTATGAGTATTTCAGGTCCTTGTTAATTACGGACGGAATGTGTAGAAACTTTGCTAGATGTAGAGTAATGGTAGTGGAAGATCAAAATCAAGAAAAATATGCTACTAAAAAAACAAAAATATAATATATTAGGAGTGCAAATAGAATAGACAATTTATAAATCAGTTCCCTACCTATATCAAATAAACAAAAGAAAGAGATTAACTAGGATTATATCTTGATGAAACATTGAGCTTTTGCATAGAAATCCCACTTAAATTCTAGATTATGGATTCTGATACATCATTTCATGCAAATGAACGAAATTTTAAGCATTAGATTGGAAGTATGATATTAACATATATATGAGTTTGATAGTGCAAGTGTTGGGGATATCGCCTTCAAGACATCTTTGGCTTGAATTTGAAATTGAAAGAGTAAAATACATTCAAGACCTAAAAAGAATGTTAGTAGTTGACGGACAGCTAGAAGACAAAGGATATCATGTTTATTTCGGTGGTAGCTAATAGAATGTGACAAAGAGGAATTTAGTAGTTGATTATGGTCGGATATGCATACCCTTATATGTGGTTCATGTTACTACAACTAGATCAAACACAACCATTGAATATGTGGGTTTGTCTATACTATGACACCAAAGACTTTGCCATATTATTGAATATGATATTCAAATGATAGCTGTAAACGTTAGATTTATGATCTAAAGAACATAACTATAGATTTCAATTAGCTACGTGTCCCAGGAATACACAAAAAGGTTACCTTTATATAGACGGAATATCACCCAAGACCAAGAAGTTAGAGATTTTTCATACTAAGGTGTACAACCATACATCAATTTCTTCAATAAGAGGATTGCGATCTTGTGTAACCTTTTTATATAGACAATTCTAGGCTAACTATATGAATTTATATTATGACAAATAAATCAATGGTTTTTTATACATTTCATAATTAGAAACCTACAATAAAGAATGTGACTAAATTGAAGATTAAGTGTCTTAATTAATATAAGGGATAGTTTAGTTATTACTTTGCTAAAAATAGGATTGGGATGTTAAAAAAAGATCCAAAACACATAATCCATATAGAGTTTCAAGAAAGAATGAACATAAAACTGAATGGGATAACAAAGTATACAAGGCTTCATGTAAGATTTCCAAAGATGTTATGAGTAAATTCAATAAGTATATAAGATATTTTAATCAATCAAGGACTCTTAATTTCGATAGGGTTCAATATTCTTTTAGAGGAATGGAAAGGCCGAGAGCTAACTCCTACAAACTTAAGAGTGTTTTGATATGTCATTTATATAAGGATCAATGATGTTGCCAACTATAAGATTAAGGCATGATCCAATAAATATATGTTTATTTGCTATAGTTTGGATGACATAGGATCATTTCTGGGATGATTAGAGTAGAAGAGTCAAAAAAACAAGGATTCCACATTCAAAAAATTTATTTAAAAAAGATAAGCTTGGAGTATATGATATATCTAAGAAGGAACCATATGGAAATATCAAGTTATATTCCCTGAAGTAAGAGAGAATGACATTACAAGACCTATTAGTACATCAAATATAGGTAGGATCTCTTGAAGTAGTGGGAGTTTTGAAGCTAGTAGGAGCATATAGGACAATGGGAACTCAGAACTATAGGTTGTATATGAATTATCTTCAAAAATCCAAACTATTAGAACACCTCCAACTAGATACTCTTTATCAACAAACTATTTTCTATTGATTAATAATGGTAAGCTAACATATCATCTAGATGTTTTAAGAATAGAAGATTTCATACAGCAAAAGAATTTATGTAAGATGAGATAGGTTCACTTGATAAGAACCATACTTTGACTTTTGTCAAGTTACCAGTAGGAAAATAAGCACTAAATAAGAAGGGGGTGTTCACTATAAAGGATAAAAGTGATAAAAGCAAGAGATATTAGACTAAATTTGTGGTTCATGGGTTACAACATAAAAGTTGAAATTAATAAAATGATATGTTCTCTCTAGTTTTTGGAAGATGACCATAATCATATTATTCTCGTGTATTATAGTTTAAAAGACTTACATATATAGAAACTATATGTTAATACAATTTTCTTACATGGAAACATTAATGAATACATCTACATTAGACAACTAGGAGGTTTTGATATGTCTGCTAAGGAAAATCGTGTGTGCAAACTGAATAAAGACATGTATGGATTAAAGAAAGCTCCAAAACAATAGTACTTGAAGTTCAAAAACTTCCCATAGTGGAATAGATACATGAGATATGATATGGATCATTATTGCTACCTAAAAATGTTTAATTTACTCCTACATCATTTTTTTTCTCATATGTTGATGAAATCTTGGTATACTGATCAAACTTAAAGAAAATCAACAAGTTGAAGAGGCATCTTGTTGTAACACCCTGTTTCGAGTCATTTCATAATTCGGCGTCGTGACCCAAAGATCAAGTATCATAAGGCTTCAAGCTTTGGGAAAAGAGATTTTTAGACTCATTTCGATGAGGTTAATGTAGATTATGTGATCCAAGAGTTTGGGTGTGCTTTAGAGCCCAAGGGTATAATGGTAAAAAGACGATGGTTCGGGCCTTTCATGAATTAAGGATTTTAGTTTGAGATGTTTTTAGTCATAAGTAATTAGATAAGGTTGTAGAGCTCTTCAATACCTTTCCTTGGATATAAGGATCATCGAAAATGGGGTTGGAATGAAGAAGTGGTGATTGTTTGAAGTTAGGAGGGTTTTGGGCTAAGCCGAGTATGTTGGGCGTACAGGGTGTGCGTTGGGCATACTGGGCTGGGAGGATCATGGAGTGCTATCCAGTATGATGGGCGTACTCCGGTAAGGTGTAAACCCCAATTTAGGATCTTGAACCCTATTTAAAGACTTTAACTCATTTCCAACCCTCCTTATCTTCAGCCTCCATCCTCCCTAACCTTAAATTCGAAACCCTAGCCCCATTTGGAAGGATTTTGAGCCTTGGAGTGATTCTGGTGGATTTTTGGTGCATTTCGAAGAAGAATAACTCCTTGGAGAAGTGTTGGTTGTATTGGAGCTTGGAGATCCAGGCCTTGTTCATCTTGATCTAGCTTCTAGAGGCATAAAGTTTTAATCTTGATAGCTCCCTCATGTAGAACTAGTTTGGGTTATGTTATGTTATGTTTTGGTCCCATGGTTGTGGCTATTATGAGTAGAAGTTACTCCAGAACCTTTGAGCCTCATATTAGGTCTTTGTTGAGGTCATTAAGTCATAAAAATTGGATCTTGATGAGTATTATCCTTCAATGCAAGAGCTAGTGGTCTTTTGATGAAGTTTGAGACTTAGGCCTTTGGTTTGGACCCCATTAAGCCATGCAAAGTCATAAAGATGGGAACTTTATGACTTAAGACATCCTTTAGAGGTTAGATATGTGTTATTGACATTTTGGTCTTAAGCATTAAGTGCTAAAAGTGAGATTTGGTCACCAAGGGAGTACACTAGGCATACGTATGCATACACCCAACGTAATGCATGGTTTCCCGATTCCTCGTTGTGACAGTTTGTACGTTTGGCTTCAGCAAGCAGTACGCAGGGCGTACTAGCCTGGTACATGGGACGTACTCGTGAGATGCTCTTATTAGGCCTTGGGTCTTTTGGAATTTGGACCATGAGTTGTTGGGTCAGATATAGGAAGGTTAAAATGGTCTTTTACCCATTGGAATGATAGAATACGAATTGGACCTTGGATTTTGGGAAAATTACCTTAATTATTGATTAGGGATAATTTGGTTGTGTTCAATGTGAGGAACACGGTAGCAGCAGCGCGTGTGTTTCGGTTATCTTAGATTGAGGTGAGTCTCCTCATTGTACCCGTGGG